GAGGGAAAAAGTCCCAATACATCACATGACATCGCTGTGATGACTTGAATTTGACACCCCTGGTCTAAGGTTTTAAAAAAACTATTGAGATTTAAATGTAGGCTTTGCCATTAAGCTGGCACAAAAGCAATCTGAATCTCTGGTGGTATACTGTTATCAAGCCTGTAGCTTCATTAAGTCTCAAAGCGCCTTAATCGCAGGGTTCACTTCTTATAAAGTGGCTTGTGGTGTATCAACCATGATTTTGGCTTAGCAGTGGTTTGGGCAAATTACATTGGTTGGATTCCGCTTACTGACATGCAAAAATGGCACAAAAAAGTCTTCAATAAAGGACAGAAAATATTTACTCTCCTTTTTTGCTTTATTTGGGGATGTTAGTGAAGTATTTCATGGGTGTTTCCCTCCTCCCCTTTTTGCAACTTCCTGCTCTATTCCCATCCTTTACTATTTTTACCAGAAAATTTAATTTTCACTGCCACACATTCAAATTGAAAAATGGGATCGCATTAGCAAAGCTGGTGGCAGAAGAGCCATCAATTCCCAGCCTCCATTTCTAATATGTGAAAATAAATATTATTACATATTCCAGGAACATCAGATTGGGTGACCCAGCCAATTCTTTATGCAATAACTTAAACAATAACCAAGAACAGACCTGGAACAATATATATGCCTAATCTAGCTTTTTTCTGTCATCCTTCATTTCAAGAATGAAGGTTCATAATTATCTTGCAGCAGGTGCCACTGAATTCAATAAAACAGCATAGCCCCAAATCATGAAACTCTTCAAATGTTGCACAATGCAGTGCTGTTTAGTAATTCAACTTAGTGACTAAAGAGAGTGTGGTGGTCAGAAGGCTAAACACAATGTGAGCAAATCCTATTTCAGTAGCAGGCATTATGTTAGTCCCACCAATCTTATTTAACTGACCTGCTTTGGGTTTCTGAGAGAATTCTGACAGAATGCAATATTACATTATGAAGCAATCTGTTGCTTATATTGATTTCTTGGTGAATTGGCTCAGGTTGCCTACAAGTCCATACCATCCACATGGGCTAGATTTCTGCCACTTCCTCCCTCTCAAGTCCTCCAGATGTGCAAGCACTACAATTCCCAGAATTCATAGCATGGTAACTGGGAATTCTAGGAGCTGGAGTTTTAAAACAAATCTGAAGAGTACCTATCTTGGGGAAAGGGTTGTATCCTCTTATCTCATTCCTTTGAAGTAGTATTTTTCAGCTTTGGCAACTTTAAGATGTGTGGATTTCAAATTCCAGAATTCCCCAGATGGCATGTTATTTTGGGAATTCTGGGAGTTGAAGTCTATAAAAACATTGCTTTAAGTTTAAAACAAGTAAAGCAGATAATAATTCTAAAGAACATTTCAGATAGAATCAAAACTATGCTAAGAAATGAGCCCAGGTTTCTGTCTTTGCCAGCGGAATCCCCTGATACTTTGCTCTGGCTTTTGTAATTCTCTGGGTTCAGGTGTTTCATGTTGCTAAAAGGTAAAGACAAGTAGTGGCAAGTCAAGCGATGTTTGCATCAGTTTTTAAACAAACATTTACCTGAAGGATGCTGGAGTATCACGGAAGTGCAATCTCATTTCTACCTCACAACAACCCAGCCAGGTAGGTTAACCTAAGGGGTTTTTTTCTCACAAGCATATAACCATTGATTAAAATATACCACTATCCATTGGAATATAAGACGAAAAAGTTTCACCTAATTGACCAGACAGCTGATAAATAAGCTGCCATCATTTGTACATCTGGTAGCAGCAATGATGACCAAATGGCTCTACAATGGTCAAGTTGAAAATTAGAGAGAAGATACTCCATGGCAGTCATGCCCTCCAATTCTGTTCCTATCCCCTTCAGTCAGCGGTGGGCTCCTACCGGTTCTGTCCACCTCTGTAGAACTGGTAGCTCTATGTCTGCTGATGTTTTTGCCCACCCACCCACCTGGGCTCTTACCTGATCTTTATTTCCTAATTTTTCAACTTCAGCTGCCAAACAAGGCACAGCTGCAGTTAGAAAAGCAAGGAAAAAGGGCTGTTTCAAAGGCTGCTTCTCTGTAGGCAGCTGATGATGACGATTTACAGGCGCACGGCGCGCAGCCTGCAGGGAAGCTCGTAAATCCCGAACTGGTAGTTAACCTTGTCATATCCCACCCCTGCCTTCAGTGACTCTTTTGCTGCCATTATTTACCTATTTAAGGATATATGTTCCACTTTTTTGAGTGGCTCTTATGACTTGAAAAATCATTAAAATGTAATGGGAAAGAAATTTAAAAAATGAAAAATGGTTTAGTTAACTACTAACATGTTAAAGGACTCGAGGGAATAGATTTCCTACGAAGGAACCTACTTGCTTTATCAGCCTAACTGATAAAAGAATATCCCAATTGTTATATGGCTGTGAACATCAATGCTGGTTGCAGAAGAATCCCAGGCTAATAAGATCCTTATGGGCCATCCTCATGCATACTAACCAGAACAAGCACATCGGTTGAATAATTTCCTGTTGTGTCTTTCTCAAACCTAAATGCCAAAACAATATGTTTGGAAATAATGATCTATCACTGAAATAAAGTCATCTTGATTTATAGCAACATAGTTCTACCCCCTATTAATATATGAAGTACTCTTAAATTTAAAATAATTTAAAACCATTTCAACTGTGGCTATTTTGAAATAAACAAATCTGTCAATTTATGTTTTTATTTTTCATTTATGTGCTTTGTTTCTCTCTTGAGATTTCTTGAAGAAACAAATGGCACTAAAATCCCCTTTTGCTCATTTCTCCTATGCATTTTGGATACCATGTGCTTAATGGACACAGTTTTTCACAAGTATTTTTTTTTAAGAAATATCCCAGGTACTTGATATGTTGCTTTCATCAGTGTTTTTGTGCAGACTTTTCTTTGTTAATTTTTTGTACGATTCTTTTATTTTGAGAAAGGCTTTGCAAAAAATTAAAGAACTATACATTTAATAGAAACCGAATTTCTTGCCACAGCAAATTTCACATGTTGACTGCATTTCTTCCCTCAATGGGCAGTCATCATGTGAAATATGTCGCATTTGGTGTGCAATGGCTTAGCAGTTAAAGATGCTGAGCTTGTCAGTTGGCAAGCTGACAGCCACGATTCAAGACCTTAATTCTGTACAACAGGATGAGCACCCACTATTTGTCCCTGCCAACCTAACAGTTCAAAAGCATGCAAATGCAAGTAAATAAATAGGTACCATTTTGGTGGGAAGGTAACAGTGTTCTGTGTGCTTTTGATGCATAGCTATGCTGGTCATATGACAACGGAAATGTCTTCAGACAATGCTGGTTGCCTTGGCCAAGAAATGGAGAAGAGCACAATGCCCTAGAGTTGGACACAACTGGACAGGGGAAACCTTTGCCTTAAATTTCATAAAAAACAAATTTCAGTTTGTGGATGGATTCAAAAATGTGAACATTCCTGCATCCTTTCACACAGTAAATTTACATATTGTGTACACATTGTGGAAAGAAGCATTTTCTCCAATCAGTCAACATTACTTCTACGATCATGAGAAAAACACACATATAGACACACACACACATTTCTACATATAATTTTCTATATCATTGTATTTTTTACAAATCTCACTCTCAGTCATGTCACTTCTATTATGTTGGGATCATAGAGTTGAAAGGATTCTTCCACTGAGCAAAATCTTGGGTTGCTGGCCTAGGCCTAAGATTTTGCTCAGTGGAAGAATCCATATTAAAGTATCCTAGACAATGAGTAGGTAGCCTCAATTTTGTTAAAATTTAATTGTTACTTTTGGATAATAAATCATTCCTGTAGTGAAGGGGTGGAGGTCTAAATAATTGGTTCCGTTATTGAACTGTTCTTTTTGTCAATTGAATTAATGAAATCTGTCTTCCTGTAACTTAAATTTATTACTGTATTCCATCTCTTACATCTAGAACAATAAGGGACCTCTTGATCTTCTGCATATTTTTAGATTTTGGAAGAAGGCTGCTGAAACCTCTGCTGTCATCTTTTCTCAAGGCTAAACATATACCTAATTCCTTCAATTTCTCTATTCTGTTGATGTTCATTCCAGAAAGTGAAGCAAAATTATATCTAATAACCTCTACTATAAAACCATGCTGGCTTGGAATTCTGGAAATTAGTCAGCTTTTGATCTACCCCATTAACCGTGTTAATTGGATCTGGTACTGTGTTTCGGTCCATCCCCTAATTCCAGAAGTGAGAGACAAACAAAAAGAGGGAAGCACAGTGTATACAGCTTTGAATTTCTGAATGAAAAATGAGTTATAGCTTAATAATAAATAGTGCAATACAGTCATAGACAAACTTATCAATGGCCTTATCCATACTTAAAGCAATATATGGCACTAAATGATAGCTAGCAAAATATGGATTGCAGAAGCCCAGGCATGTAACTTTGGTTGAAGCTTAAAGCATTATGAATAAAGGGAAGAAAATTGTCTTCATGACAGATGAAACTAAGATCTGGATTAGTCTATATCAGATTCTCCTATAAATGAATATAGGAGTAAAGCCTATAAGGATTCTTGACCTTACCAAGTAATGTTTTGGGGTGATAATGATTATTATATTCTACATTATTAATGATCAATACCCAAACAAAAATATTGATATATAAACAGAAATCACAACCCACACACAAACTTATTTACAGGAAAATACATAACATAGTACAAATGACTCAGTTTTGAATAAAATAAAGAAAGCATATTTTCTTTTCTTTTTGAAAAGAAATGGGTTTTTTCCTGTCCTTTCATCTCTTTAGCTGTGAGTCTGCATCTTGACAGGTGTGCAGCAAAGAAGAATCAACTTCTCTGTCCCTGGAGAATTCACCTGTTCCTTTATAGGCTGGCGAGTCATAAACATGAGAGAGCCTCATAAAAGCCTCTGGTTTTTTTTCTTCAAAACAGCTATTATTTTCTTCCAGCAGCTCGGAGTTAAAATGGCCAGCCAAAAATTGTGGCTATTGTACATAGGATTATTTCTCTTCATACTGGAGCATGCAGCAACTTCAGATCCTCCAACCAAACCGGAGGAAGAATGCCGACTCCTAGGGAAATTTGATTTACGTGGCTATGTAGAAGCTGAAGAAGCCATGCATGTTATAGGAGGCATGTTCCCTATACATTTCAGGACCATCCTTGAGGAAGATCCAACAAGTACACCTCCAAATTCACCAAAATGTGAGGGGTAAGGTACTTCTTCTTTTACTATTATTTGGGGAAAATTATTATGTCAGACAAAGAGTGTTGTTCTCAGTCAGAAATGACAGCAGTTTGTTGTCACAGCCCAAGACAAATAATGATACTTAAGAGAAGTGAGGGAGGCAGGGCTGCTGTGGAAGTTAACGGGGTCCTAGGCAATAAACCCCTGGTCATGTAACTTTTCATACATTTTTAGATGCTCCATCCCTTCACCAGCTTCTTAATCATATGTTCTGACTGCTTGGTGGTCTTCTATTTTCTCAATGCATCCCATATCTCTTAATACCCATTTCTTTCTTGCAATTTCCAAGTAGGAATATTGACATTTTGACTTTCTTTTTGCTAACAATTAAAAGGTGACTGGATCGATGGTGGAGAGGGAAGGAGGAAAAGGGAAACCTCGTGCAGGCAGGACACTGGGCTTGCATCCAGTAGTCCATCCACCCTAGAAGAGGCACAAAGAAAGAGCCAGTTTTTAGATGTACAGTAGATACTTGTTTTCTTGGTCCTATTATCCTCTCTCTTCAAAGAAATTTGGAACAAAGTCTCCTGAACCCAACTCTTGGTGTTGGTATCACAGTGCACCTGGCAAGGCCTACTTCAAACACTATCTTTGAATGCCCCCAAGATATTCTTCATCTCATTTCCAAGCAAGAGTGAGACAGCCTTAACTTGTATTTAGTTGTTCTGATCCTAATGCTATCAGCTGTGATTTTCCTTTTTATACCAACAATGTTCAAAAGTAACCTCAAGATTTGTAAAATCATTATGCTTTGTTATCCATTACCTTGCAGGGAAGTCAATGACTTTAGGATGTTGAAACAGAGTTAATTTATAAACAGGTTGTGGACCAACAGTTAGGATAGCAAAATTCATACTGATATAATTTTAAGGTGACTGAAAGAGGGAAGGGATGCTTCAACTCTGCAGTGGGGAAAAGGTAAAAGAAACATCATTGGAAGGGATGTTTTGCTTTCTGAGAGAGCTCACCAAATACTCTTGGAATATACCAATACTTCATGAGAGCCAAGTTTATATAAGTGACTTATGAGAGACTAGATAATATTCAAATAGCATAGAAACAATTGTAAACCAACATTTGACATAGGAAAAGAATGCAGGTTTGATTGAGATTGAATGACTTGTGCTGATGTGGTTATAGGAACGACTTATGGGGCCTGGGGGTGGGGGAAATGGACTCCTTTATCTATAGGATAGGAATGGATAACTAGAGCTCCCAGGCCTGCTTGGAATCTTCAAACTACTTTTGTGGCTCCCTGGGATGTTTGCAATGCAGGAACCAGAAGGTCAAAAAGGTACTGCCATGCAATGCCATCTTGAGTTTTTTATATATATATTCCCACTTCCCTTCAGATGCCCCAGATGGCTATCCCTCAACTGCACTGCTGAATTTCACTGACATGTTTGCTGAAATCTGGCAGCATGTGATTTCTTTATAGTTTGTTAAAATAGCTTTAGCACTGTTTACAGATGGAAACTTCACCTTCTTTGTATTAAGGAATAATTAGAAAAACCCAAACAGAGACAGAGTCCGGTTTACTTTGCCTCATTGTCTCTCCCAAACTATTAATTGTAATGTCTATGTACCAAATATTGTCCAACTGTCAGAATACTGTTTAAAATCAGATATAAAGTCTTTCTCTCCCCCCCTCTCTCTCTCCTTCTGTGTGTGTGTGTGTGTGTCTGTCTGTCTATCTCTCCTCCTCCCTCCCTCCTGCCACCTCTGTATTAAGAAAGGTAACCCTCCTTTGAAGTGACATAGTCTGTCCATAATACCCACAGTTTCACTGCACAGCATTAGAGCATATTCAAATTTGTCATAAGTGGAAAGATTCACTAAATTGCAAAACTAAAGTTAAATTTTTTAAAACTTTGTCTTCCTTCCAAGAACCTGGTTAACCATAGTTGTAATAGCTAACATACAGAGAATTATAACTGGGTATGCCCACAATTTATCTGTCAAAGTTTCTTTAAATGTATTATATCTCAATGTAGAAAGGATACGAACAAAAATTTCCTAAACTTCTCTGAGGAGCCCAATAGTTCCTAGACATTTTTTTCTCTGTTAATAGTTTCAAAGTCAGAAGAAACATCTAACATTCCTTTAAGCCCAAAGTCACCGAACAGGCAACGTAAGAGTCTATGATTCTCTGTTCCAAATTTATTATATATTGTCCCATTTTTATTTTATTTTTTAATCATCGTTTTGTAAATTTTGGTGATATTAACAACTAGTCCCTGTAAAATACTTCTGTAATAGACTCAAGGTCCCTGGAATTTGAGAGGCCACGAGAATATTGAGTCAAGCAATGTACATAGCAAGTATTTCAGCTGTATGTGTTGCCATTCAACCTTTGAAGTAAATTACACTCCTTTTGTAAAATCTCAAACATTTTAAACTTATCATTATGTAAGACTTAGTTACATAGAATGATCCCACTGTGAGCCCATGTTTTCCAGATAAAAAAGTAATACCAGCCATTTTTAAATAAGAATTGCTCAACAACGTCAGTTTCTCATGAAAATAAAGTATCAACTTGAATTTTCTGTCCAGTAAGATCTAGATATGTCTGACAGCCTTTGATGCTGGAAAAGTAATAAAATTCCCACAGATACACATGTTAGAACAAAGAACTTGCTATTAAATAGTAACTCTCAAATTAATCTAATAATGGTAACTAATCAATTTATTTTCCATTCCAGTGCATGTTGAGGTAAATAAATAAGCCCCAAGTTGTCAAGAGAATTAAAAGTAATATTTCCATAATAGAGCTGTATCTTTAAGTGAGATCATGGGCATTTGCTTCCTCCAGTATCAAATTTAACCATTAACTTATCAACCTGTTTAAAGTACGTGAGTGAAACCATTGTAGACATTGATTTCAAAGTGCATATCTGTGTGCTTACTATGTACATTTTTCAGCTATCTGTGTGCTTGCTATGTACATTTTTTCCCACAAACCTATGGGGTATTTTCATCCATCCCTTAATCTCTTTCATCTGGGTGGGAGCTTTGAAATATTTCATCTAGGCCTAGGGTCTTCTCCTAGGGATAATAATTTAATAATTTAAATCTTAAATAATATTTAATAGCTTCTGGACAATATACAAAACTTAATTTATTCCCTATAAACATCAGAATGTGATTGATTGACATAATACTTGTATATTCAAAACATTTATCATATAACTGCACCACTTCTGTAATTTTAAGTAAAAGTGTTGGATAATATATATATAAATAACTGCATATAACAACATAAGCCACCACGGTTGCTTTGGATAGTGAGATGGATGGCATATACATTTAATAAATAAATAAAGATCTGATATTTAAATTTAGATGAGCAAATTTCTTAATTAATAAATTAATTTCATGTTTGTCTTACCAACCATACCAAGAGTTCTAATACCAAATTAAGCAGTACAGAAGCAAAGGGACATACTTGATGGTTTTATGTCAGGGGTATAAAACTCACAGTGTCATATTTTCATCACATGATGTATTGTGAATTCCCCCCCCCTTTGCTAAACTGGGTGTGGGGGGGAGTGGTCAGTGCTTGATGCATCCGGCCCGCGGGCTGCAAGTTTGAAACCCGTTCTATGTTCTATTCTAATTGATAATACAATAATCCCATAGGCAATTACATGAACACAAGGATTAAGCTAATACATTGATGGTGGTTGTCTTTAAAGCCTTTCATGGCTTGAGGCCTAGTTACTGATAGGACCATCTCCCCCAAGTGTGTTGCCAATGTTTGGAGACCTCTGATCTATACTGTTAGATCCAGCTGGAGAGGCACCAGTTGTTGGCGATGAGAAAAAGCCATGCTGTGGGACTCAGGAAAAGAGCCTTTTTGCCTTCCTACCCATCTTCCAGAATATCACCCATCCTGGAATTAGGCTTGCCCCAACCCTGCTGGACTTTTATAAGACATTAAAAACCTGGGTTAGTCATCTATTCTGGGAATTTAATAGTG